GGAAGGCCCTCTATGAGGTGGATTGATTCAGTGACTGGGATAATTGGGTTGGGAGTGTCAGAGACAGTGCGATTGGCACAGGACAGAGCGAGTTTAGGGCTGTTGTACATAGGGTCGCTATAAGTTGCAGGCGACTCGACGGCACATAACAACACCACATACTTTGGGCATTTTATCAGGAGAAGTTATTCCTTATTAAAAAAAACCAGGTGGAAGGTCAGAAAAATACTTCAAAAAGAATTGATATAACAACTTTAATAATCAGCGAGCATATTAGAGATCACGAATATGACACAAAATGGGGCTGGGTTCAGATCTGTCATTATAGGCTTGCTGTGATTTGTAGTCATCTCAGCAACACCTAACAGGAGCATTGCAGTTTTTATTTTATTTTTAAAAATTTTTTCATGGTACTTGATGTGGTCTCTTCTAATATACAAGAAATAATACTAGTTACTTGATTTTTTATTGTGATGCTTTCTGTCTACCACATATTTTTCCTGATTTAAAAAAAATCTGCTTTTGAAAGTATAACTGTAAGTATTAATATATATTACTGAAAAGAAACTTAATATTTTTCTAAGTTTATTACATTAGTATATGTACAAAATTCAAATACATTGTTTTTCATACCAGATTCTTATAATTTCCCTCACCCTCCCATAAAATTGTACAACCGCTTGTTTAATCCCTCTCCTCTACTTTAACATTAGGCTTCCCCTATGGAAAGATGGGGGGAAACTCAAAGGCTCTTCAGTTGTTGGAAAATAGAACTAGCAGTAAGTCTTGCTATTTCTAACTATCCACCCACATTCTTTACTCAAACTTCAAATGACAAAATTCCTTGCTCCTTCCTTATTCCAGTAATTCTTCTTTTTTGAGAAGGGCAGTGTTTTGTTTGTTTCTTTTGATAACACATGCATATCAAATACTCTCTTGACTGAGCAGTGCAGAAAACATCTCTATGTTTTTTTTAGTTATTATTGTTAATGTTAATGAAAATTTACACTTTGGATTTCCATTCATTCATTGTTGCACTTTTCTCCCTGCCCACCCTTCCCCCCCAGTTGAAACGTTATACTTTTCTTGAACTTATTTTAGTTAAACTTTCAAGACTTTTATAGATTAATGATTATACCTTGAATATATGAATATAAAATTCTGCAAAAGCATTTAAGAATTATTGTTGTTGTTAAGTTGTTAAGTGCCGTAGAGTCACAGGCGACTCATAGCGACCCTATGAATGGAAGTCCTGGACACCTTCTGTATAACTTTTGTCCTCTTTCCAGGTTCATAGAGTTTCCAGAGGCAAGCTGTTGTGGAAGTGGATGCCACTCCTGCTTCCAAGCTTGTTTTAATTGGGAAGCTTCACCAAACACTGTTCACCATGAGTAACCAACCATTCTTGCATTTGACTCAGCAGGGTCACAGTGTTCGGCTTCACAGCAACCACGTACTCTAAATAATAAAATGTGTAGAAATAATAAAATCACCTACTAGTGGTGCCTTTGAGCTATGGTGCTGAAGAGAAGTATTCAATGGGCTGGTAGCAGAACAAACAGGTTTGTCCTTGAGAGGGTAAAACCAGGCTGCTTCTTGGAGGCAAGGATTCTGAAGCTCCATCTGATATATTTTGGGCATGTTGCAAGGAGGGAGCAGTCCTTGGAGGGGGACATCATGCGTGGGATGGTGGAGGGACAGCACAAGAAGGGAAGAGTCTACATAAGATGAACTGACTCAGTGACTGAGGTAATGAGGGTAGGTCTGTCAGAGCCAATAAGGTTGGCTCAGGATAGGGCAGGGTTCAGAGCTTTGTACGTAAGGCCACTATGAGTTGCCAGTGACTCCATGGCACATAACAGCAACAACATTTAAATCTTTACATTTTAACACTTCAAAGAGATCTATTTGCAGTAGATTTGTTGACTACTACTTCCATCAGTGTTGACTCTGTACACAAGTAAAATGAAATCCTTGCCAAACCAGTATTTTTTTTCATTTTGTCATGATAATTCTTTTTTGATCAATTGCATTGTCACTTTGTCATACTCTGGTGGCTTTTATGTTGCTGTAATACTGGAAGTTAGCTACAAGCATTTCATCTTGATCACCAGTGATGGATAGATTTAAGCAGAACTTTCAAAGTAAAACAGATTAGAGCAACAAACTTGTGATCTACTCCTGAAGAAACAGCAGCAACAACAACAATAAAAAGAAACAGCAAAAAAGAAAAGGCCAATGAAAAGATAATGGACAGTTGCTGAACATTTTCTACTCTAATGCTAGAAAAGAGCCAATGAGTTTGGAAGACACTAAAAATTCATCCAAGTACATAAATATAACAAAGTTGTGTGGTAGAGTCATATATTCTTTCATACTCTTCTTGTTGTTAGGTGCTCTTGAGTCAAATGCAACTCATAGTGACTCTGCCAACAGCAGATCTGAACCTTGCCCTTAACAGCCTCATTCTCATGCTCTCTGATGTGATCAAGGCTGATGTTAAAGTCACTGTGGCAATCCGTCTACGTGAGGATCTTCCTCGCTTTTGCTCGTTCTCCACCTTTCCCAACATAATGTCTTTCCCCAAAGACCTGCCTCTCCTAACAGCATGCTCAAAGATGAGAGACAAGTTCACAAACTAGCTACTGTTTTTATTTTTCCCTTGAATAGATAGACTTTTTTTAAAAAAATCACTGCTTTTAAATACCTGTAATTTTCCCATTTGAGTGTCCTCTGAAGGATTTTTGTTATAGAGCAAAAATTTTTCTTTGCAGCACTTTAAAGATAGGTCCCAAAGTGAGTAAGGAAATAACAAAAATAGGGGTTATCACAGAATCACACAAACTAGCTCTCTTCTCTCATGTCCTGTATCTCTACTGCAGAACACAGAGCCGTCATGGAAGCTGTTTTTGTGTATGGGAACACATACCAATTTGCCTTAACCACAGAAATTGCAGTTTTGGAAAGTATTGGGTATGTATGAATGGCATGTATCAACAATTTCAGATTTTTCATGTTCACTTATTTCCAATTACTTATTCCCTGTTTCCATGATTTTTTCACATAAACTTACCTGAAAGTGAAGGGACAAAACAGATGTGAAATAAATGAAAGTTAAAAATAAATGAATGTTGAAATATTTTTCATATCTATTGTCTATGTAGTATAATTTGAAATGAGTTTAGATACATAGAAATGTTGCTAGGTTTAGATGTAGGAAGACAATATGGATAAGACACTATATGAGCGCACAAGTAGCCAAGTGAGGTATTGTGATCTTAGACTAAAACTTGGCTTTTTTTTTTTAGTACTTTTGCTTCTGATCTCTGGCTTCAGACTCCTGATAACGCTTTCTTGGAGGGCCTGTGTATTCTCACTCTTTCTGGCCTTTTCAGAGGGATGCTCATGGTCTAGTGCTCCCAAGCCCTGTTTTCTTCTCTTTAGACATTTAGTGTCAGAAAGAGTGGGATTCATTGTTTCAGACTCATAGACATATGGTTTGTTTTTGTGAATGTGGCGCTTAGGAGGGAGGAGAAAAGCAAAAAGGTTCCTATTGCTGTTACTGAGGGGGGAAAGGAAAGCTGAGACGTGCTTTATAACCTGAAATAAAGGGGTATAAAGATGAAGGAAGATGATTCTAAGAAATTCTTTAAGAGTCTATGTATAATACTTTCTCCTCCTTCTTTATTTGCCATAATGTTATGTTGACATATAAAAATGATTACGGTTTTTGTTGATTTAATGCTAAACATATTGGAGAAATGATTAAGATTTTATAATGTGATATATATATACATATATATATATGATATACTAAAATGCTAAAGTTTTTTGTTAATTTAAAGCACATCAGTAGAGAATTGCCAGAAGTCCAGGCTGGGTTTAGAAGGGGTCGTGGTACTAGGGATATTGTAGCTGATGTTAGATGGATCTTAGCTGAAAGCAGGGAATACCAGAAGAATGTCTATCTGTGTTTCATTGATTATGCAAAGGCATTCGACTGTGTCGATCATAACAAACTGTGGCTGACTCTGAGAAGAAGGGGAATCCCAGAACATTTAATCATGCTAATGCGAAACCTATACTTGGACCAAGAGGCAGTTGTCAGAACAGAGCACGGTAACACTGCATGGTTCAAAATTGGGAAGGGTGTACATCAGGGATGTGTCCTGTCTCCATACCTTTTCAACATGTATGCAGAGCAGATTATCCGAGAAGCTGGGCTCTATGAGGAGAATTGTGGCATCAGGATTGGTGGAAGATCTATTAACAATCTGTGTTATGCAGATGATACAACCCTGCTTGCTGAAACTGAGGAGGACCTCATGCACTTGCTGCAGAGGGTCAAGGACTGCAGCCTTCAGTATGAACTGAGGCTCAGTGTCAAGAAGACAAAGATTCTCACCACTGGACCAATTGGTAGCATCAGGATGGATGGCGAAGAGATTGAGATTGTTCACAGCTTCAGTTTGCTCGGCTCCACGGTCAACACTCTTGGCACCAGCATCCAGGAAATCAAAAAACGTATTGCGATGGGAAAGTCTGCTTTTTAGGGACCTCTCTAAAGTACTCAAGAGCAACAGTGTCTCTCTGGAGACTAAGGTGTGCCTGATACAGTCCATGGTCTTTGCAATCACTTGTTATGCATCAGAGAGTTGGACAATGACTAGGGAGGACAGAAGGAGAATGATGCCTTTGAGCTGTGGTGGTGGAGAAGAGTATTGAATGTACCATGGACTGCCAAGAAAACAAACAGATTCATCCTGGAGAGGGTTAAACCAAGCTACTCCTTGGAGGCAAGGATTCTGGGGCTTCATCTGACATACTTTGGGCATGTTGCAAGGAGGGACGGGTCCTTGGAGAGGGACACCATGCTTGGGAGGGTGGAGGGACGGCGCAAGAGGGGAAGACCCTCTATGAGATGGATTGATTCAGTGACTAGGGTAATCGGGATGGGTGTGTCAGAGGCAGTGTGATTTGGCACAGGATAGAGCAGGGTTTAGGGCTGTTGTACATAGGGTCGCTATGAGTCGCAAACCACTCGACGGCACATAACAACAACAACCGTGCTAAGATATATTGAAAGATGATTTAAGATTTTTGTTGACAAGGACACGTTGTAATTAGAAAAAAGATGTAAGTTAATTGGTAGTGGTGGTTGTTATATGCTATCACATGGCCTGCGACTCAGCCACTCTGTGTACAACAGCTCATGATCTATCTTGAGCCAATTTAATGGTCTCCGACATTACCCCATTACCCAAGTCACTGAGTCAAGCCATCTGATCTAGGGTCTTCCTCTCTTGAACTGTCGCTCCACCCTTCCAAGCATGATGACCTTTTCCAACAACTGGTACCTCCTTGCAACATGCACAGAGTATGTTAGACAGAGCTTCAAAATCTTTGTCTCCAAGGAGTGGCCTGGTTTAACTTTCTCCAGGACAGGCCTGTTGTTCTCCTGGACGTCCATGGTATATTCAGTACTCTTCTCCAGCACTGCAGTTCAAAGGTATCGATTCTTCTTCTATCATCCCTGGTCATTATCCAGCTTTCTGGTGCATAGCAAGTAAATACAAAAGGGCATGGCCTAGATCAGGCACACCTTAGTCATAGATCGACATAATTGCTCTTCAGTACACTGGAGAGATCCCTGACAGTAGATTTTCCCAATTTGTCTTTTGATAGCAATCAGGTATTCAAAAAGGGAATTAATTTTTCCTAAAAGAATGTTTATAGTAGTAGATTTTGGCTCCCTTTCAAGAACTTTAAAGTTAAAGGAAGCTTCTAAGTATATGGAAGTCCTAGTGACCACCTGGGTGTTCTTGATGAGTAGAAGTGAGGGACATGCAATAATGAAGAGGCAGGCTGAGTTTGGACTTGCTCCTTCAGCACTGTCTATCTAGCATCATGAATGGATAAAGGAAAAAGGGTTACTGGTTTGTGGGGCAGGGAGTCCTAGGAATCCTTGATGTGGGCGAGATCCATGTGGGCTACAGTTGAGTAAGGGTAGCAGCCTGTCTGAAAAAGGAAGAGGTGCGGATTCCTGAGTTGGTGGTATTTAGCCACTGAGGCTAGATGGCTGAGGGTGTGTTGACCAGAACCCAACCAGAGGAAGAGATGATGTTTCTTTCTGAAAGCTAGTGTTAATTGCTGTGACCTGATCATTTGCTCTGGACCAGACCTTAGTTAATAGATGATGATTAAATAGTAACAGATGCTTCAGAGAAAAAGACATTAGAGTACTGGTTTGTTAAGAGTGGACACATTAAATATTGGCTATGTAAAATGGGGTATTGTGACTTAAGGAGTAAAGCAGCTGGCTTACATATTTCCCTAAATATAGATTATGGTGAGTGGAAGACTGATCCTTCAAATAATGAGAAACAGTGGCTAAAAAAAGCCATGGGGTGGGCTGAGTTGTTAGACTGAAAGTTGGCTTTTTTTTTAGCCATTTAGTTGCTTGGCTCCAGCTATCGACTCCTGATCTACTTTCTGCTCTGGGTTGGTGAGGGGCTGCGTTATTTTACTCTCTCTGGCCCTTTTACAGAGGCACTCAGGACCTCTGCTACCAAACCCCGTTTTCTCTTCTTTAGACAGGTATTTTAGGAATAGATCTCTCATAGTGATCAAATAGGGGATAAAAAGACAGTATTCATAACTGAGCTTTAGAAATACTTTGTTAGAGTTCTATAAGTTGCTTGTCAGTGTAATAATAAAATGTATTTAAGGCTTTTTTTTCCAGCATAAAAGCATTATTTTTCATGAAACCATCTTTTGTGAAAGCTTGGTTTGTAGCATCTTCAGTTCTTTTGAAGGCTTTTTCTTTTTTTCATATTAATGGAAGTGCTAGTTCAATGTTCCTCAATTTTGTGAGCCTCAGTTGTGAAGGGTTTTTTAAAAAAAATCTCATTTCTAGTTTACAGTTGATTTTAATCTATTACAAATTAATTAAACTTAAAAAATCCTGGGTTCTTAGTTTAAGCATGTGTCAAAAATTAAAACAGCATACTAAAAATAGAATTTTGGTGTATTTTGCCAAATCCAGTATTGCGATATGGAGATACAGAATGTTTTCTTAATTTAGGCAAAATTTATCCCACTACAAGTTTATCTTTAAAGTCTCAAATTGAAGGGAATACCAGACTCTAATTATAGGCCATATCTGCCTGAGTTTTGTTATATTGCAGATACAAACTCACAAACTCCCACAAACTGTCACATGGTTTCTATCTTAAGGCATGTTTTGGCTGAAGTTTATCCAGAATAGCTTTGAGTTTAAATTAAATGTAGAAAATTTGTGTTACAAAGATTTATTTAGAATAAGTTTAGAGAGGCAACTATATTTGAAGACAGTGTCATTGTTTGTAAGGTAACAGCCTTAGAATAAAAATATAAAAGGTATAGAACTACATACAGGTTGTTGTTATGTGCAGTTAAGTCCTCTGCAACTCATGGTGACCCTGTGTACAACAGCCCTAAACCCTGCTCTATCCTGTGCCAATCTTACTGTCTCTGACACACCTATCCCTGTTACCCTAGTGACCGAATCAATCCATTTCATTGAGGGTCTTCCTCTCCTGTGCTGTCTCTCCACCCTCCCAAGCATGACGTCCCTCTCCAAGGACTAATCCCGCCTTGCAGCATGTCCAAAGTATGTCAGAGGAAGCTTTAGAATTCTTGCCTCCAAGGAGCAGCCTGGCTTTACCCTCTCCAGGATGAACTTGTTTGTTCTCCTAGCAGTCCATGGGATACCTGCCACTTAATGCCCATAGCAGGTTCTGTGAAACAGGACACAATATGATTTGAACACTATGTTAAAAACCTATGGGAACTTGTTCCTGGTTGTTTTTTTGATAAAGTTGCTGCTGACAGAACCTGGAGGAAGGAGTGCTGGTAGGGAGGAGGGGACAGTTGTGTGGGTGGAGTAAGAGAGTAAAAAGGGGACGAAGTGCTTTCCACTTAAAGCATGTTTTGACTGAAGTTTATTGGCTGCTGTTCTGCACACCTGAGGAGCAGAGGCAGCAGGACCTCTACAGCTTATTGCCACCTGCCCACTGGAAAAAGCCCATGAGCTTGTGTGCAGAGACATGTCCTCTGCCTTACGTGCTTGTATCCCATTTGTGGTTCAGTGCTGCAGAAGTCTGGGTTTGTGGTCTTTAAAATCAGTGTCTTTTTTTAGTTGGAACCAACTCCTAGCTGATCCTCCAGGGGATTTTCTAGGGGCTGTATATTGCATAGGAGGAGATTGTATATCTTTCTCCCATGGAGCTGCTAGTGGATTTAAAACACCAGATAAGTGCTACATTTTGGGTTAACATTGTGTGACATTTTTACCCACTAGGCCATCAGAACGTCCTTAAAAACATTAGAGAAACCCTTGAAAAAAGAAACCGACTTTCTCTTTTAAAAAATTATTTATGAGATCATGGGTATACATGAAGTGGTACATTGTCTAAATGGATGTTAAGAGATAATACACTTGTATATAACCTTGTTTTAACCTAGTTTATTACTTTGTTTATAACCTTATTTATAACCTAGTTTAGAAGTTACCATATGAAAACATTTAGGGAGTAATTGCTTGTACAAATGATATGCTGTTTTATTTTCTTTAATAATCTGTTCACTTTCTTGCATAAGTTAATTTTAACTTTATACTTTTACTAGAGTAGTAATTTTTAAAAAAACACAAAACTTAAGACACAGTGATGTGCTGTTTCACCTTTCTGGAGGTAAAAAGATCACATATTGAACTTGATTAAGTAGATCTGTTCCTTATTTTTCATTTGTAGTACTGAAGATATACGATATGCACATCTCTACTTTTTTCATTGCAAACCAGTCTTGGACTTCAGCGAGCAGTGTAGAAGAACACTAATGGAACAGCCACTAACTACACTGAACATTCACCGGTTTATTAAGACAATGGGAGCACCTCTTTTGGTATGTGCCTTATCTTAATGTATTAAATAATTTTTACATAAAAATTTGAATTTTGATTCGTAGATATAAATTTTATTTAGGTGGTTTGTATTATCCCTTTTTCTTTGAATTTCTTTCTTTCATTTGGGAGACATTTATGAGTATTTTCTTATTAAAGATAGAATAAAAGATAGACTGTTCATAAAACTGTTTTAAGGCTTTGCAGCATTATTACATTGAAACCCAAATAGAACACTGTGTAAGTAGGAATATCGCTTGCTGATTATAATGAACCCTAAGCTTTAGTGATGATTCTCAGATGAACAGGCCACATCATGGTTAAGACATCTTATATGAATGCTTTGATCTTATATGAAGTTTTAAAGATTGTTTTAAAAGCTGATAAATAGGAAAAGGATAGGATTTCTGGTGCTCTTCTCTCATTAGAAACAAAAAAGAATTTTGATAGTAACTCCTCAGTGACGGTGGTAAGTAGCGTTTTGTCTCTGAAAGTTTGTGCAAACCTTCAGTAGACATTCTCACTCAATCTTTTTTAAAAAGTAAAAACAGTACACATGTATTAGACTCCCAAACAGTGCAGCAGAGTATAATGAAAAAAATTGAAAATGGTCACCCTAGCCTTGTTACTGAGAAGTTGACCATTAGATGACCATCACATCACTGGCCTCTGACATATATGGCACATACAAGTAGGAGAGAATGAATGCATTGGTTTGGACATAGCATACTTTGTGTGTCACTTTGTAGTAAGGACAGTTTTTATTTTAACTTAATAGAAGGAAAAGAAAGTTTGAAACTAAAAAGATTGATGAATTTTTTTAATTAATGTACTTTCATCATTAGTGAACACCAGGAAACACTCTCTCTGGTGTTGAAAATGATTATGTGAAACATTAAGAAATGATCGTTATGTTTTTAGTAAAACAGTATGTTTCCATGTTAGATGTTGTTGTTATGCATTTTCAAATCACCTGCAACTCATAATGACCCTATGCACAACAGCTTTGAAGCCTTCCCTATCCTGAGCCAGTCTCACTGATTCAGACATACATACTGTCATTATTCCACTTACTGTATCAATCTATGTTAGATAGTATCAACTTATTCCCTGCTTTGAAAGAGAAAATGAAATTCTGTGTGTTTATATTCATCTCAGCTCTACTTCTCCTTTTTTGTTGTTGCTTTCCCCCCCTCCCCGTTTTGTTTTTTTAATATGCCTGGTGGCACAATATGTGCTTGGCTGCTACCTAGAAGATTGGCAGTTTGGAACCACTAGCTAATGCATAGGAGAACTATCTGAGGATGTACTCCAGTGAAGATTCACCTCAGCTCAGCTCATTGGTCTCTAGTTAGAACAGACTTGTAAAGGACCCTCCGTTAGTTTTCCAAGGCTGTAAATTGCTTCAGAGGAGATTGTACATCTTTATCCCATGCAGCCACTGGTGGATTCAGACAGCCGGAGAGGAATGATACTTGATTTAGTAGTTCAACTTGTGGACTGCACTGCCAGGCCTTGTAGTGAAGATTACAACCCCAAGGAGGAGTCCTCTGTTCTCTTATGTAGTGTCAATAAGAGTTGGAACTGAATTGATGAAATAACTGAAACAGTAATGTTGTTTTTACATTGTTAATGTTTATAAAATCAACAATATCCACTTTTACAGCATTTCAGTTTTATACTGAAATAGATTTAGAGCTTGACAGCTGTCATTTTACCACCTTATTCCTGAGTCCTGAAATTTGAGTTTCTTTTTATTTTGTTGGATTTTGGCTTCAGACAATTCTTTCTTTTTAAAGTAGCCTGTATTCTCTTTCTTCTTTTCCTTAGCACATGTGTATTGGGGCATGTGTCTTTATATTTTGAATTTGTTTTACTTTCCCATTTCAGCACAGAGTCCCAATAGGGATGCTATAGTTCACTATAGGGTTCTTTCCTCAGCTATTAAGGTATAAATGAAGAATTAACAGGATTTTGTCTCTACTAGTTTGACCTTTTAGGTAGGTTTTGCATGATACAATTAAATGTTCTGGAATTCCTTTTCTTCTCAATGTTAGACATAATTTGTTGTGATCCACCTGTTCAAATACCTTTACATAGTCAATGAAATACAGGTAGTTATCCTTCTGCTATTCTCTGTTTTCAGCCAGACTCCATCTGACATCAGTAATGATGTTCCTGGTGCCCTAAAACTTCTCATTCTACCCTGAATTTCTACCAGTTCTCTGCTGAGGTACTATTCTGGCCTTTATTTATTAACCTTCAGCAAGATTTTGCATGTTGTTGCTGTTATGTGCTACTAAATCACCTGTGACTCATAGTTTCCTACCTGAGCCAGTCTCACTGTCTCTGATACACCTACCCCCACTACCCTAGTTACTTTGTCAATCCATCTTATTCGAGATCTTCCTCTCCTGTTCTGTCCCTCCATCCTTCCAAGCATGATGATCTTCTCTAAGGACTGGTCCCTCCTAGCCATGTGCCCAAAATATGTGCTATGCAGCTTAAAAATCCTTGCCTCAAAGGAACAGCCTGGTTTTACCCTCTCTAGGACAGACTCATTTGTTCTTTTGGCAGTCCATGGTATCTTCAGTACTCTTCTCCAGCATGACAGCTCAAAGGCATCAATTCTTCTTCTGTCATCCTTAATGGTTGTCCCGTTTTCTGATGCAATGCAGCAGAATGCATCAGAAAGTAACTGCAATGACTATGTACTGGATCCGGCACACCTTAGTCTGTAGACTGACATCATTACTTCTCAGTACCCTGGAGAGGTCCCTGACAGTAGATTTCTTACTGCAATTTCACTTTTGATTTCTTGACTGCTGGTGCTCTTTAGTCCCTTCAAATTATATAGTATTTTTCAAAATTGTTGCTCCTGAGTGTTGCATAGTATTTCATTGTGTGAATGTATCACAATTTCTCAATTCATTCAGTTGTGGTTGGACATTCGGCTGTTTTCATATTCTTGTGATGATGAATAACTCTGCTATGAACATCACAGTACACATCTTCATTTGTGTTTTTGTTCCAAATTCCTTGGGGTATATTCTAGTAGTGGAATTGGATCCTATGGACTTTCTGTGTTCAGCTTTTTGAGGAGATGCCAAACCCTTCCAGAGGGATTGCACTATTTTACAATCCTACCAACAGTGTATGAGAGCTCCCTTCTCTCTACTTCCTCTCCAGCATTTATTGCTTGCTGCTTTGATAAACTTTGCCACTGCTACTGAGGTGAGATGGCATCTCACTGTGGTTTTAATTTGCATCTGTCTTACTGCTGGTGATTTTGAGCATTTCTTCATGTGTCTGTTGACTCCAGATTTCTTGATAAAACCTGATGAGGATATCCAGGGCTGCATCTGTTTGTTGTAGCATGTCAGTTGATATTCCCAGTTACTAGAGTAATATTTTTTGGTGGTGTCTTCAGGAAATCTTAATTTCTTCCTTTATCACAATTGCTTTTTGATCATATGCTACTTCATGAAGATTCTTGTGTCAGGCAAGTCTTTTTGGTACAGATTCTGTTTATCCATCTTCTTTTCATGCTTCCTGGCTCAAAAGATGGTTGTTCAAATAGAGAAAAGAAACACTTGTTGTTGTTGTTGTTAAGGGCCATCAAGTTGTAGATGACTCATAGTGATCCTATAAATGAAAGACATGAACACTTGTATAACTTTGGTCATTTCTCCATGTTCATAGAGTTTCCAGAGGCAAGCCATTTCGGAAGTGGATGCCAGTCCTGCTTCTAAGCTTGATTTAATCGAGAAGCTCCACCAAATACTGTCCACCATGGATAACCATTATTGCATTTGGCACATCAGTGTCACAGTGTTTAGCATCACAGCAACCACGAGTTACAGCAATGCACAGACCAGTGCTATACCACTTAGAAGAAACACTACATGATTTAAAATAAAGAAAGGTGTATGTCAGGGCTGTATCCTTTATTCATAACTATTTAGTGTGTATGCTGAGCAAATCATTCAAGAAACTTGACTTTTTAAGGAAGAGTGTGGCACCAAGATCAAAGAAAGACTCACCAACAATCTGTGTTATGCAAATCACAAAACCTTGCTTTACTGTAAGGAAGACTTGAAGTGCTTGCCTTCAGTCTGGGTTATATTTCAACATCAAGAAAACAGAAATCCTCACCACTGGGTCAGTAGGCAATATCATGATATATGGAGAAAAGATTGAAATTGTCAACAATTTCCTGCAGTCAACACCCTGGTACCAGCTGTCAAGAAATCAAAAGGTGTATCATATTGGGAAAATCTGTTGTCAGGTACCTCTCCAGAAATGCTAACAAGCAGTGATGTCAATTTAAAGACCAACGTGTACTTAATCCAAGCCATAGTCTCTTTGATTACTTGCTATGAGTCTGAAAGTTGGATGATGACTAAGGAAGATAGAATTAAAATAGATGGCTTTGAGTTGTGGTGTCAGAAAAGAGTACTGAATGTTCCATGGACTGCTAAAAGAACAAACAAGTCTATCTTGGACAAAATGTGACCAGGATACTTATTGCTTAGAGGCAAGGACAGTGACACTTGGTCTCACATACTTTGGGCGTGTTGTTAGGAGAGGCCAGTCCTTGGAAAAGGACATCATGCTTGGAAAGGTGAAAGGTTAGCAAAAGAAAGGAAGACTGAGGAATAAGATGGATTGGCAAAATGACTGGACTCAAGGTTATTGGAAATGGTGAGGATGGCACAGGATAAAGCAAGGTTCAGATCTTTTCTTCATAGGTTCGTTATGAGTTGCATTTGTCCCGACAGGACACAACAACAGTACCATCTTTGCTTTTGGAGGCAGGATTGAGAATTGTACTAAGTTTTAGAAATCTTTCTCTTTATTTTTTTTGTCTGATATACTTTGACTTGAAGTTGTGTCCATTTATTAAAGTTGTTGGACATAACTTTTTTTTCTCTTAAAAATGATTTTATTTTTCAGATAGAAAAGAGTGAAATTCTCTGATTTTATTTTACTTTACTGTATA